TTGGGATAGTATCTCATAGTAATAGTACTAGATATTTTTTAGATAGAAAATTTTTTGTTGGAGATTTATTGGAGAATTATTTGAAAGAGATAAAAAAGATACTCAAAGAAATTTCAAGAATTTTAAGAATCTCAAAAGTCTCGATAGCAGTACGCTCTATCGATTCGGGATAGTTCGCAAAAGCTCCTTCGTAAAAAAATCATTAAAACGATTACACCAATGAATCAATTTGTCCGACGAGTTACGCGCATCTTTCAGAACGGTTTAGCATAGATTTTTTCGCGTATGTAGTCCTTTCAATACACGGCATAGACTTTCCATTTTGATATTCACTCCTCCTGAATCGTCACGCCACGTTTATCGACAATATTTCCCCGTCGAGAAGAAAGTCTTCCTGCCGCCGTTTTCGTTTCCGTTTTTCCTGGGCGTTTTTTCGCGATTGAAAAGCCGCTGCGATCTTCGATCGCAAATTGGAGGAGAAAACGGTCAGCAACGCAGGACGCCCCAGGCTTCTTTTTCTTATAGCGCCGTTAGAAGAGCATAACACTTTTCTGTGGTGTTGTTGCAAATAGAGAAAAATCCATGTAAACTTATATGCTATCCCTGAAACGTTGATTTTCATTCCTATCCGTTAAGTTGTCCATGGAATAATTGTAACCAGCGAACATTCGTTCACTGATTATTGACTACTAAATTAATTCTTATTTCTATAAGGCATGTAATTGTATTAATTTTATCAGAAACGTGAACAAGATACGCTCTTACGCAGAAAGATCTAAATTAATGCGTAATTGTAAATAAAAATCATTATCTTTCTGGTATATATGTATATATATACATACACGCAGAGAATTTTAATTATTATTTCTAGATTTTGTTTCGGACATTTTTTTTATTAGTTTTTATATTTATTAATATAAGATAAAAATCAACACACTCAAAAATTTATACTTTATTTAAAATTTGAAGACATGAAATATTTTTCTTCACTAAAAAAATTGAATCATCGAACAGTATTAAAGAGTCGTAAATTGCCATATTTATCTTACATATATATCTCAATTAGTAATCTCTTCAATATTTCTCCTTGTTATTTTAATCGTTTCCAGATAATCTAACAAAGTCACACATATCTCTGCCTATTTGTGATCAGCTTGTCGTGCAACAGACGGTATGAAACTTGACTTCTACATTCAATTAAAATATCTAGATAATTAGCCACGAGGACTCTTACTTCCGCTGGCTCAGAACCGTTCATGGAAATTCGAGACAATAAATCACGCACTTACAAAGCACACAACAATGAACCAGGTGTAATCGCGAAATACCGCAACGGTGAGCGACGTAATTGCAGGGTATTGAAATTAACATTCGGCTTGATCTTAAGATCGAGAGCGACAATCAATCAAAGTGTCTTATCGGTTAGATAAGACAGTGGCATACGTAAAAACGAAGCAGCCTGTTTCTCCTGTACGCAATTTGATTATCATCCCGAGTATTTATCGAACTTTTCTCTTTCATTATCAATTTTATCGCGCGGTCGAGAAGATGAATCATTAATTTTATTAACGCCGACATCAATTTCTACGATCGAGATGGAGGATCTGAGTCTGACGAGGTGGATCTAATCAAGGCATTGAAGCGTGGTATTTAAATTTGCTCGTCGCAGGAGGAATCTCTGAAGATGACGGTGGAAAGTCTAGCGTTCGTTCGTCAAGTTTTGCTGTTAATGCCACTTAACCAGCTAGCCGGAACGGTCCATGATTGTCGCACTCACTCGCTTGGTGAGAAAATGCTAATTGCAATTCGCGACGACGAGTATACGAGGAGTGCTCCCGGAAAAGTGGAGCGCCGTTTTAGAAAGCGCGGTGTAACGTGGCTTTAAGCGACTTTTCGCGTCTCTTGGGTGCTCGTTTTTTTTTTGGGCAACACCTGCGGCGGCGACGCGAAAAAAGGACGGCGCGTGAATGACGATTTGAGTGAGGAGGCGCGCGATTCAGGATTGCGTACCCCGAAGAAACGCACTGGTAGACGTCCGAGATCGATCTGTCGATGTGGTTTTTGTCTTAGGTTTCACGACGCCTCGGGAAGAGAAAAAGAGAGGAGGGGGAGAGAACGGCGCATACGTATAATTATACGAAGCGAGCAGTCAACCCCTAGTTGAAATAATCGCCGGTACTGTTATCGTCGGACTGACGTAGCCCAGGATTGATGCAAATCTTCGTCTTACATCAAGTCGCATCCGAAATACATTCATAGAATATTTATGTACACGCGAATAAAGAAATGTTGTATACTTTTATCCCCGTATACGCACAAACTTTAAAGATTATTTCTAGAAGTGCTTTTGAAACGTGTAACTCTTTGAATATTACAATACACAGCGAAATAGCTATATAATTTGTTGTTTAAATAATAACAAAAATTAGTTCATTTTATTCTAGAATGAAAGAAACTTACTTTCGATGAGGACACGATTTATCGTAAAAGAAGTGGGAATGATTAGAGGAAAAGATACATTTAGCCACACTGAAAACAAGCGCCACCTTCTAAACTCTTGTTGTACATTAATACGACTAATGTTTAATCGTCTGCAAAAGGGGATAAAAAACTTCATCCATTCTGAGCCATTTCGGGTCTGACGATCAACTATGCACAAAAAGAGAATTTTCTTTTAAAATTTACCCTAAAAATCATGTAATCGTGAGACAACACATTTTGAATAACTTTATGAGAGTTTTTAAAATTTTACCATACATTTTACTAAAATTATGTACACGGAGAGAATTTTCTCTTAAAATTTATCCTGAAAATCATATGTAATCGTGGGACAGCAATGGCATCTCTAAGAATTTTATGAGAGTCTTTTGAAGCTTTACCATACATTTTACTAGTAAAACAAAGATTCTTAGAGATCCCAATGTTGTCCCACGATTACATGATTTTCCGGATAAACTTTAAGAGAAAATTCTCTCCGTGTACATAATTTTAGAAATAACAATGGTAGTATTAAAGAAAGAATAGTTTTAGGTATCCAAACCCCCGCTGGAAGCAGTTCTGACCTTCTAAAAATGCCATTTGGTTCGTTCGATGACTCATCATCAGAACTGTCCAAGATGACAAATGTGTCGTTGCTACGCTACAAAGATATCTGTATACCATTAGAAAGGTTTTTAGCATACCCTAGATACCAAATGATCCACATGGTACGGGCACAGCAGTACGAGCACTATTCCTATATATGCAGTAATATTCTTTAATAGCGTCTCTTCCTTCACCATTACATTCTGCTACTAGGTAAACATGGTGCACTGTTTTGTTAACATTTGGATTGTATTCAAGTTTCAAGTAATATTGGACTCGTGATATCGATATTATAATTAGCGAGGTCATCAGTTCTCGTACCGCGGCTGAGTTCTATTCTGTACACGAGAAGAAAAATGTAGCTGCCGTAGCTCAAAATTGCATGCAGCAACTAAATTTCAGTTGTAAAATATGGACAGCTAATATGTAAACTTGATAGATTTGTTTAGGTTGCCAGTAATAAACAACAATGGATACGTTTAATCGACCTTTTCTGGCTATTATTTAATCTATTTAATAAAATACAGGAGTACTGTGCAACGTTTCGACCACTGGTTTGTTTAGACACAATATTTTTATACAATTATGTTTAATCTTTAAAATTTATATTTACAATGGCATTGACATCTAGGATAATCTTGTAACTCCGACTGTTCAATTTTAGAACTGTGCTTGATAAGGACCCAAACCAGTGGCCGAAACGTTGCACAGTACTCCTGTATTTTATTAAATAGATTAAATAATAGCCAGAAAAGGTCGATTAAACGTATCCATAGCTAATATTTAGTTGGGCTAGCTAAGAATTTTGGCTGTGCCTATTGTATTAGGTGCGACGGCAAGTTGGGGGAAAAAGATATTGGTATTTGAAATTTGAAATTTTGTAATTGCGAGCAAATTGAAATTGACTTTATAAAATTACAAAATTCTTCCGCACGATTCTAGTACGCGTAAAAATAAAGCGGGGGGTTTACGACTTTATATAAAGAACGAAGAGAAATTAAAAATATCGCTTTACAAGTAATTGTGGTTAAGTGACAGCTTCACATGCTGATATTTTTAATTTGTCTTCGTTCTTTATATAAAGTCGTGCACCCCCCCGCTTTGTTTTTACGCGTACTATAATCGTGCGGAAGAATTTTGTAATTTTATGAAGCCAATTTCAAATTGCTCGCGATTAAAAAATTGAAACTTTCAAATAGCAATATCTTTTTCATTAGACTTCTGACCGGAGTGTTTTAAGTGCGAAAATGTTCTGCTATGCGGCCCGCAACTTATCCTGGCACTATTTTGTGCATAAAAGCTAATAAAAACATTTTCAAAAACTACACTCGAATGTGTCGGTAAAACAGATGACTGGGATCCTCTTAATACTATCGTCATTAGTTATGAAATTATATACGTAATGAATCTTTAGACCGAAACTCTCGTGACCATTGGCAAAGTTGTTTGCTCTGACAATTGGCACATGCGACGAGCGAAAGACGAAGACTTTTACGACGACGGACAGAGGCAGCCGGCGATCGTCCCCCGCTCATTGCTCGCAGGTCGAAAAAGCATCGAGTGTGACCGGTTACTGTTATTCGAGGCTACATTACACGCGGTTGCCGTTGTTTGTTCTCCCCGTATCTCATTTATACCGCGCGGCGGCAACGCTTATTACAGTGAAGCGCGCGCTTCGCGAAATTTTTCCGCGTATAACTGTTCCGCGCTGAAGGCGCAAAAGGCGAAGGCATAAATCGCCGCGCCGGCCGCGTAACGCGTGTTTACATATGCGAGTACCCTCGCCGATTCTTCATGCCCGCCCGCCCGCGCATAAATTAATTTATCGCCGCGATGGTTCTCCCCCCATATGCAAATCGTCTCGCGTTTACGCCCGTTTACGGCCACTCGAATTAATTGGACCATTGTGATTTCAGCATCGGATACAGTTCGACGACACCGCCACTCGTACCTTCGAATACCCCAGCGAGGCGTCGATCCTCGAGGGCGAGACCAGCTGCGTGGACGGCGAGACCTCTGGTTCCGCGATCGAGAAGCAGCCTACGCCGAGCAACAACAAGATCTCCTCAACGACCGGCACGACGACGAGCATGCCGTCCCTTCTCGGTAAGGTCGAACCTGAGAACTCGATTGCGATGTCATAATTAAGTTAAAACGCGCGCGCGCGCGTTGAAATTAATATAGCTCAAAGTATTCGAGAAAAAAAAGTTAAAATTACCGAAAATTTTTTTATTCCAGATTACTCGGAGATGGAGATGTGCGAATCGCTGCGAATCAGAATCGAATTCGTTTTCGATCAGAGAGATGCGAATTCGAATCATCGACGAGTCGATTTTTAATGCAATGATACAATCGTTTTTAAAATATTACAAACAATTAATTGAAAAAAAATGATCGAGTTTATATGGCTTTACTTTCGAAATATCGCGAGCCCAAGGGAAATCGATTCGAATTTGAACACGAGCAGATTCGATTCGATTCGAAAGTATTTTAAAAGATTCGATTCGATCTTGTCCACGCTAGAGCATGGGTTCGCGCATCTCTACTCGGAGAAGTTTAACTTGGATTATTTAATCGACGAACGAAAGCTAAATTAAATAGACGGAAAAGATAAGAGCAGAATGAGAGAGAGAGAGAGAGAGAGAGAGAGAGAGAGAGAGAGAGAACGTGCTCAGTGCATGTTGTTTGCAGGCGGAGGTGGCCTGGCCAATTACACACCTAGCAAAGTGGACCTGACGTCGGAAGGCTTCGAGCTGGGCATTACCAGGGCCATACTAATGGTTCCCACCCCGACTGCAACAACAACGACAACGGCGACAACCGGGCAAACCGAGAATGCGAGCGAAGTGGAATACCTGAGACCGGCTCAAGACGCGGGTGCTTGGGGCTCGGAGACGACCGGCGATCTTCTTTATTGAAAAGAAATGTAGAATAACGCTTCACCATCAGTAGCTCAATGTCCCTCCGCGGCAACAGAACGAACGAACGAACGAAACGAGAAAAGGGTAACAATAAGTATTCCTCTTTTTTTTTCTAGCGACGAGAAGATTGCGAGATACCATACAAATGCAAGAGAATCAATATATTATGATAAATTTTAATAAAAGGAAAGATTTACGACAAATGCTCATGTAACCGTACGAAGCGAATTTTTCATAGAAAACAGATTTAGAACGTTCGCGTTCGTGACCGGACGATATGTCGGACCACAGATAAGTCGCAATTATCGTTAGATTATTAGATATTAAATTAAGCAAACTTTTTTTTTCTATTACGAAAACGGAATCAAAAACGCAATCTCCGCTCATGAACGCGTCGAATATTCAAAACGAAGTTTATTTAGATAATTAAGGACTAACAGTATCATTCCAAGCATACGCATTTATTTTGTATCGTTACGCTATGTCAAATCAACGGACTTTTCCTACACGATGAATCATCGAAACTGCCAAGATACGTTATATAGTGCTGCTTTTTTTTATAATAGCACTCGCGAAAGGAAGAGCCCGGCGACTGATACTTCGTTGCTTAGAGGAAAAAAAAGATAAAAACAGAGCATATCATCTTTCTGGCATATTTTATAAGATAGAGGTATAAATCGACGAGAGAATCGAGTTTTGTAACCTTTTTGAGATTACTTTAATGCTAAGCTGTGAGTGTTGAAGCTGCCAGTAAAAGGCCAGAGTTTTATGCAAGGTTTTTTTTTGTAGAAAAACAGGCAAACGATGGAACGTCTTTGAGATTTAATTGGAGGGGGAAAAGGTCCGGGGAAAAAGGAACAGCTCGAGTTGTTAGATTTGTAAACGTTTTTTGCCAAAGTAGAACGTAAGTCTACTTATTAGTATTTTTAATAGTATATTTAATAATGTATATGTACAATAAGTGTTCCAGTTCGACAAAACTGTAAGAATTGTAAATTTCAAGACACACCGTCATTTGTACCGAAATGTATGGCAAATCATACTATGCCTTGCAAATGCGAAGATAAGCCATTACAGCGTATGCGACTTTTCATACCGATTGTGAGTTTGCATTTACTTTCCAAGCATCATAAATACATAAAACTAATAGCTTTCCAGCATAGGAGTTGCATAGGAGAAAACGGCGGTTTAATGTTAATTATTAATTTTAAGGGAATTGAATTTTGTATATATACTAAATTATTGTGGGTCTCGCAGAGCCATTCAGGATAAGTTAATCGAATCACGAAAGTTCGAAAAAGAAATTTAATTTAAGATCAGCTTTCTTGTATGTCTTGTATTACTTTTGTTCTTTTCTTTTTCATGTTAATTTCTTGTATCTTCTATATGTAGCATCTCGGATGCGTTACCACGGATAATCGAAAGCATTGTTTTGAATCGTGTAGGTGTAGGTATTTAATAATGTATGATTGTAAAACGATATGTAGTCAATATGATTTCACTTGGACAGTGGACTGATTCAAGCGAAAGAACGCGATAAAGAGATAATTTATTAGGATGCATCAAAAGTAAACTGCTGCTGCGTTTTATTACGAGTTTCAAATATGTTTACTTTATTTAGATAAAGGCTGTATCAGTTCACCGAATAGTTTGTGATGTGCCGCATTGTTTGAAAGACTTGTTCTTGTGTCACAGCGTTGTGTCTTACACTGTGATATTTTTTGTTAATCTTTTATAGCGTAAAACATAATTTCCAATTATTTGTCAGACCCAGCAAGTCGTCGATACTCGTTGCTGCAATACATGAATATCGCAAGGAGCAAGTCAAATTGCGTTTGTGCAACATTCCAAATTAAAACTGTATACGTATAGACTTTCTAATTTGCTAATTAATCGATCAATTGTAATCTTGCTCCATACAGGAGAGCTGTGTAACAGTTTTGTAAATTACAGTTGTACAGAAGCGCAGAATACCACGTTTCGAGTAAACAATAATAATAAGTAAAAACGATTGTGAGGTAACTATTGATAACTGAAGCTTGGATCTATATTAATTAATTTAATTAAGCCCATCATTCCGCCGCGGAACATAGGGACTCGACAAGTTGTCTCCACTTTCTTGCGAGTACTTCGGGAATCAGAATTCAGACGGACAGGTGATAATGCCTGCTGCATCCTAGTCTGGTGTCAGGGCTGCTGACTTGATGGCGACCAGACTCGCCAGTAGTATGTGTGTGTGGCAGAATACTCTCGGTGGTTACCACTTCCCTTAGAGAGGTAACGTCCGAAAAAGTCAGCGGTATTCGTGGATTTGAACTCGGATCTTCTCGTTCATTTGCTAAGCAGCGCACATTTTTCTGCGCCACGCTCGCCACTGGATCTATATTATTACCTTCTTAAATATGTAAAAGTGTGATGTATTGTCTATGTGTTACAAAATATCGAAGTAATAAAAGAGACAATTACTCCTTATTTCTCTTATTCAGGACTCTTGTCTATAAATTCTCACAAGAGTAAAAGAACGCGGGTAAGAAAAAAACATTATAAAAAATTAATCCTATTTATTTAAATAAATGGACAATGTACAAGTTGAACGAATAAGTCATATTTTGTGAATCGGATTGCAAAACAGTCTCACATATATTACAGGACTAGCGTTAAATTAAGCTTGGACTTAAACTAACGTTAAACTAGTGCTAAACTTAAACTGTTGTTATTTGTATATTGACGTATAGTATTCCTCTTCCAAATCGTATAAATCCGCAGCCATGTCGTCCCTCAGAGAGGCCAGTTTTTGATCACATTCTACTTGCTTGGTTCTAAATAATTTGCCGTTTTGTATTATGGCGTCGTTTACGGAGGGAAAATCATTCAGGATTAAATACTGCTTTATGTCGGAGACTAGTTTCATTAATGACTCGCCGGCACGCACAATGTTAGCTGCTCTGACGTGCATTTCGTACGTATCTTGCTCGCACTGCGTCATTCGAGATAGTTGAGAGTCATTTTCCCCTTTGGCGAGTTTAATTATCTCTGAAAACAACAGAAACATACCGCAATTATTAAAACACGAAAGAACAAGGAACGCAAATCATTAGATTCAAAATTATCTAATGTAAATCCTCCTCCGAAACTCGTCTTTTTACATAGTAATGTAGTCTACATAAGAACATAGTTCAAGAATAATTACCGCGCGTAACTTTTTACATTTATTTCTATATATTTATGCCTTTGGTAACGCTGTGCCCAATAATGTCTCGTATCGCTTTCAGTATTTCAACATTTCTGATTTGCTGCACTATCACTACTGGCTGACACAAAGATGAACAGAGCTCCGCGATTCGTAAACATCTAAACACGTTATGGACTTTTTAGGAAATTACAACCGAAATTACGGAGCACTGAAGCTTCAATAGTTATTTGTCGAACGAAGAATTTTCAGTCTCACCGGCTCGCACAAAATATAAGACATTTTGAATGGATATATATTCGGGGAAAGTATTCTACTGTACAGACAGAAACAAAAGTCAGAGCTTGGTATCTTTTTTAAATAAAATATATAGTCACATATGCAGATACTTTCCGTATCTTCTGTATCTTCCACCGGAAAAATAATTCGGTGCATCTCGTGGTCTATCTATGTCTAAAACGAAGGGAATCAAGAATTGCAACTTGTATCCGTACTTTAGATGAAAAACAAAGTCAAGCTCAAGCTCTGACAAAAGCAACGTCCGAGATAGTGATTCAAATTGTGGCATCGCGTGTCTCGATAGGTGGAAATCCAGATAATTGGACGAGGATCAAAATTATCGAATGCTGCAATTATAATTCCGCTGCGACTGCGCTAGCTGTACCTTCTGCAGCGAATATAAATATACAATTGGACGGAAAAAAAAACCAGGAAAGACGAAACAAACAAAAGTTCAAGCACAAAAGCAAGTTCGATGGCGAAAACGGTTCTTTTTTTTCTTTTCTATCGGAAGTTCAAGGTGTCTCTAAGCTACTCATAGGAGTGCACGGCACATCAGTAAGAAAAAAGAAGCTGTCGTTTAATAACTTGAAATAACGAAAAAACGCCAACCGACGATAGGTTAGGACATTCAGGCACGAATCTAGGGAGGTACCTTCGAAATTCTCCAGCATGGACTTGACGTCGTCCTTGAGCCTCGTCGTGTACGACTTCAGTAGCGCCTCTTTACTCTGAGGTAGCGTACGTTGTGCGGCCATCGTGTCGCGTTAAAAACGAAACGACACGTGTAACACTGTCAACGACGTCCTCGTAGGACGTGAGATTTGCGGGAACGCGACGGCGGCCGGTCGCAAGTACGGAGGGAGAACATGTCTCGCGCATGCGCACACGATACGCTGACTCCGGTGCTCGATTCTTGAGTTCATTCGAAGGAGAGACGTATGCGGAATTTACCTAAAGCAAGACTGTGGACCAAGGGTTACAATATTGGGCCAATGTGGGAAATGTTAGATTTCCGTATTTCCCAGCGTTGCGTCAATACATTATGCTGCTAGGGATAAGTCTAGCAGAAAATTGTCGTATAGCACGAATATGCTGAAGTCGATCATGCGAGCAGACGCAATTGACGCACGCGTGTAAAAGTTCCGCCCAGAGAGAATCGTCTCTCCACTCGCAATGCCGGGATGCAAACTATATAGGCGTGTAGACGGATATATCGAGCGTGAAACCCCAGAAAGATATGATTCGCCGAAACGATGTCGACTCGACATCGACATCGTCAAATTCGACGTCAATTCGACGTCAATTCAACATCGTTTCGACACCGATTGACGAGTCACTTCTCCCTGGGACGCGAGGGTTAAACGTGTAGAAGGAGAGAGAGGGATGAAAAAATCGCTAAAATTTCGCCGACAGTCAATTTCGAAAAGAAATTTTGCAAAATGCTTGCTACAAATATCCGATAGAGCGCCAACTGAAATATAACATTCCGCGACGCAATACCCCACACAGCAAAACAAGTTTCAGAAAGCTTTCCGAAAGATAACTTGGAAATTAATATTGAAATGTAATATAGAAATCATTCAGAAATATTTTTGAAGCATTTAAGAGATATTTCCGAAGCATTCAGAAATATTTCAGAAACATTTATGATATCTCGATCATCTACGCGGACATTTCATGTATCTGAAACATGTCTGAAATATTTTTTTAAAAGGTTTCATATTTCATTGACAGCTTTTTGAGAGCTTTCTGAAATATTTCGGTGCTGTGTGGTACAATGGCAAATTTGTAGAAACCAACAGTACAACTTTCAAGGTTCCCTTTCTGCTCGTTAGCTTTCTTTCCCCCGTTAATTGTAAAGCATTATTGACATGACGTTCCCTCGGGTCAATTTAAGACATGCAACTTCAATTAACTTATCAAGCAGATAATATACATATCACACGAATGTACAGGGTGTCCCATTTTAACCTGGACAGTAAAATATCTCAAAAACTAAGCCAAGCAAACAAAAATTGAATATCTCAAAAAGGTTTGGGCAAATAAAAAAAAATGTTTCGGACAAAAGTTGTTCATATTAATCAGTGGAATAAGATGGTACAATAAACAATAGGGAATTCCGTTTAAAAAATTGAAGGTGACCTTCGCGTGACCTTCGAGCAACTATTTAAGGTCAAATTAATGACACCATCCTATGCACCCTCGAAACCAAGCAACTTTTGTCTGAAACATTTTTGTTTGCTCGGCTTAGTTTTTGAGATATTTTACTGTCCAAGTTAAAATGGGACACCCCGTATAATAAGTACGGTCCATTTTTTTTAATTGATAAAACATGAAAAAGAAAGAAGATCGATATACAATAAATATCGATATACAATAAATTATATAACTAGAAATTTTTCCGTAAACAAGTCTGTGCCGGTTGAATTAATCGCCGACAAAGGGGTGCTGGAGTGATTCTGCACTTTTTGCACCTTTTGCATCTAGAACTGTTAATTCATAAAAACATTTGTATAATATACAAATTATTTTTTATGTGGCTTTTGTGTACAGATCGACTAGTACAGAAAATTTAATATCTGAAGAATTCTTGAAGAATCAGCCGCAATCAGTTCGCCTTGAAGTGTAATTCGTCAAAAGTTTATTGTGGCGCGTGTAACTTCCCCGAATCATTTTTCATTGTATTCCTCTATGAATTCCCGAAGAATTGCAATTCAGAAAGGCAGGAGACTTGAGGAACACTTTGCGAATTCGCTGCGCTACCTGGGGATAGATTGGCCACATTTCGAGAGAATCAGCTGACACGCTTTCATGGATCGCGTGAACCAACGAGGGATTCGACATTCGATCCTCCGATATCCCGCATCTGGATTATCACTGCCATTCAACGTCTGCCGGGTATCTCGAGCATTCGAATTGCATTTAAATTATCAAATCTCATTGATCGGAACGAGCCCCTCCGAGAGGATCGACGAGGACAAGAATCTCCCTTATCAGCGGCAATCGTCACTCGAATCGCCCGCGCCATATTGATTTTCACTCGAAGGCAAGCGCCGTTTTCACGGAGCCATCCTCCCTCGCCCTCTCGAACCCTCCCCCCCCCCCCACTCCTCTCGTCCGCCATTCTACCCCACTCGGCTTCCCGGTGACCCTCCAGGGGGTTGGGAATCGATATGAATACGCCCGCGAAGCTCGCTCTGAATCTCTCTCCGCTACCACGCCAAGTTCCCAGCCACGCGAACGCAGAACGTGCCCTTGCGCGCGACCGGAAGTACGAGCGCCGTCCCCTCCGTTTCTCCAGCCGCAGTGTGACCGCGAATCGTCGTCCCTCGCGCGCCTGTCCGACACGGACGGGGATCGAATCGGCCTCGGTCTCGATATATCTTTCTTGGGGGTGGGGTGGGGGAGGGTGGCCACCCTCGCCTGCCACTCGCGCGCGACGGGTAATCAGTAACCGAGTAACCCGAGCGAAGCGCGCGGCGTCGGCGTACGATCCAGCACGAGAACCTGGTCGGTACCCAACTGCGGAAGCGCCGAGGATCTCCGGCGTCTCGCGCGGAGACGAGCAGCCCGCGCGGAGCTCGCGCGGAACTGGAAGTCGGGACCGAGGGAAACGTCGACGACGGGGTCGTCCCCTCGGGGGCGGCGGGAATTGTGCAATCGGAATTGATTTCGGTGGATCGCGAGAGCATCGCGCGAACGCGAGGGGCGACGGAGCGGACGAGGAACCAAGGTGGAGGAGGGTGACGTTCGCGCGAGGAAATTCGCGGGCGATCGAACGCAGCAGCGTCGCGAAGCCGAGAGAAGGAGAGGGTGGTAAAGAGAAAGAAAGAGAGAGGGAAGATAGAGAAAGCAAGAGAAAGAGAGAGAAAGAGAGAAAGAGAGGTGTTCGATTAGTTGGGCGACGAGGTCGATCGGGCGAGGACGATGGCAGTGAGCGCTTTCTCGACGACATTGCACACCACCGATTTTGCCACTACGTGTCCCACTACACCCGGTATGTCGTAGGAGAGAATCTAAAGAGAGAGAGAGAGAGAGAGAGCGAGAGGTGCGAGAGAGAGAGAGAGAGAGAGAGAGAAAGGGAGGGAGGAACGCACGGTATTAGCGAGCGCGCGCGAGAGCAAGACGCCGCTGGCGGAATGGCGAGCGGCCTTCCTCGACGATGCGCGATGTTGCTGGGCTTAATTGTGATTTTAATGGCAGCGCTCTGGACCGAGGCGTCGCTACCACCCGAAGACGAGGAGGAGAACGTCCTGCACATCGGCGGCATCTTCCCCGTCGCTGGCGAGGGCGGCTGGCAGGGCGGCCAGGTAAAGAGGCAGCTGCTCGCGAGTCGCGAAAAGGGTGGACGCGAACGTGGCCAGGGGGTGAACGTCACATTCCATTTATTCCGACGACGTCGTGAGATGTTCAACGTCTTTTCCACTCGTCGCGTGCGCGAAAACGTCACGTCGTATAACTTTTCTCTCCTCTTCTCCCCGTAGGGTACTCGAGTTTTGTCGGGCTGGTGAAAACAAGATACTCCCCGCGTTAGCAATGATTTATATCCGCCGAAATTAACGGCGATTGGATTTAGCAATTGATGCACATGACGTCATCGAGTGAAAGTCGGCGATCGATCTGGTATTTTCTTCGCCCGAGAACTTCACGCCTGCTGGGAGCTTTGATCGAGTCTCTCCCAGAAGCCAGAACCGCTCTCGCGTTCCGCGAGCGAAACAAAGATAGAAAATTGACCAAGTTGACGGTAGACTGCTCGTGTGCTTCAAATTAAGTGCCGCGGTTAAAACACTCGCAAACGGCAAATTCGACCCAAGAGGCCCGTTTATCTCTTCTCGCCGCGACGTCCTTGTATTGTACATTCGATAAGAGATACATCGCGTCTCCCCCACTCATTTTCATGCGTTCGTCTACGAAGAAGGGACGAATTGTTACGCGATATCGCGATTGCCCGCAGCCTCCCGCGTTTCCGCCGGCCTTCGTGCCTTCCGCGCTCGCGAATTGCTCGATAAACGACCCCGTGACATCGATGGCGCGAGCAAAATTTCCAAGACAAACTTCGCGAGCCGTTCCGAAACTTTAGAGATCAGATTCTAGAAGTTGCCTCATAACGACGTCCAAGTTTACTGCGGCGGAGAAACGTTTTTCCTTATCCCTCCCGCCGACCTTAAAGCCGCGAGAATCACCGAGGATCGGGAGTCGGATCCGGTTTAGCGAAGCGTGCATTTTTCACGAGCGCTAAAAGCCCTTGGGGTATACCCAGGTACACGAGTCGATGATCAAATCGATATCGACCGCGACTTTTCGGACCGTTTAATTTGACGACGACCGGATTCTTCCATCGATCTTCGCCAGAAGATCCGCATAATACTTTGTCGATATCTTGTCGACGTATATTTAACGTCTATAGATGTGGAGGATCCTCTGTTATGAGATAGTAGGTCTTCAACGTCCAAATTCAATCGCAAACCTTATTTCGCAACGACTACACGACCTAACGATGAATTTTCCACTAAATATCATTTGATGACGACTAGGTTCTTCATTGATCTTCGCCAGAAGATCGATGGAGATCCGCATAAT